GCCCCGGCGATAAGTAATGTCCAAGTTTCAGTTATAGGGGTATAATTAAGATTTTTATCGCTGTTTTTGTAGTCTAGGATTTCTTACTAGAATTCTAGTTTTTTTTTCTTTTAGTACTTCTTATATAATTCTATACCAACATATTCTCGTTAACTAAGTGTTGTCAATTTGCCGGGTATCCTTCTATACACTCTCACTGTTTTTTCATGTTCTACTTTTCAGATGAGCTCCTCGTTATTAGATCCTCACGGTCCTTTTCAGATGTTGAACGCGTTAAGGACCCTGGATCCCCAAGCGACTCATAATGTGATTGTGTCGTTTGGTCCTAACGCCCCCAAAGAGGTAAGAGTTTGAGTGTGTGGTGTGAAACTAACCCTTTTGGGTTCTAGGAGTGACTAGTATCTAATTTCTCCTCACAGCAACACGCCTGAATCAAACAATAAGGTCGTGAGAATAAAGCTCTTGATTACTAAACAAATTCTCCTGTCAGTGCCTTGAACGCTGTATGGAGAATATACATGCTGATGTTGGGGTGTTATGGGTTAATATTCGCCATTCCTCGCCATCCTTTACCTGTCTGGTTTGTATTGAACATGCGCGTTATTTGCACGCTACCTAATGCAGTTGGATAATAAAATCTATTACAGTGTAGTTACTGCTAAATACTTTAATGATATCAAAGCGGGGCAATATGGAAGAAGAATGACTTTAAAGAAGCTTTACGTAGCGAAATGGCATCTGGCAAGTTACCACGAAGGAAACCGTTTTTTAAACAGCCAATCAAATGTAACCTATGTTTCGATGAGGCCACGTTCTTTCTTTTCAACCCCTGGAAAAGAGAATTAGCACTTTGAAAACGAGATTGCGATTACTCTAACTGTCTTTTGGAAAGGTGGGCATTGTTCCATGTCCCTGCTTTGTGGCCATAGAAGTTAAGATAAGCTGTGTCCATTTGCACTTATGTTAACTGATACAACTTTCGCCGACACAGTTTTGCAGCGTAGTTAATAACGTAAACAATCGGTTCCCTTATTTGACGAGTAGACTGTTCTAATCGAGCCTTGTCTATCCCGTTGATACTTAGTTCCATGAGGTCTTAGAAGTGCGGTGCCCCCGGAATACAGTATACCTCAGGCTAAAAGGAAGGGGGGTGCAACCTGTCATCTCTCTGTCAGTCGAGGATGGTCTGCTGGATTTAGGAGACGCTCTTGTTGGTGACACGATCTCGTCCAGTTTTAAGGTAACAAAAGGAAGAACCTATTGATGAAGCTAAAATATTTTTAGACTGCTTTTCCTTCCCCCCACAACGTATTAGTAAGGTTTTAGGCGCAGGTAAATTTGCAGTTAAATGTCGTGGAAGACCGAAGATGAGATCGCTTGACCCGGTTATCGTGCACGTATCAAGAAGTCTTGTTTGGGGTCCGGGTCGTGGTCACTGCGTTGTGTTCTTGGCAATAAGTGCTCTTACCTAAACACTGTTGACTGAAGACGCAAGTATTGGGGCTGAACAAGCGTAGCAGAGTGATTTAGTAAAAATAACTCTAAGAGCGAAAAAATTTATATGAATGCACTTCCTGTTGGTTCAAGCAAAAATTTAGTTAAAAGAAACCGACTTGCGATGACGTTTGGTTGTTAAAACTGTCTACTCATTCGACTTTCACCCATGGTTCTTCTTTTCATGTTTTTGTGGGATCTTTACGTTAGGCAACCAGACCTCATTCCTATTCAATCTGTCATCGCCTTTCCATAAGAAAGAAATGAGATAAACAGGAACGAGAGGACATCATTAGATATCAGTGTGAGTTTTTTCTGCGTTGGCATAAATACAACGTGACAAATTATAGCAGCTTCCAGGAAACCCCGTCAGTCACAGCAACGGTATTTTTTTTTTTTTTTGATGTCTTCTAATGGTGTAAACTTCTAATAATTTTAACCTATTTTGACGGCTCTTCCATTTGCAGATATCTAACACTTCAGAGCTGTCAATCACCTATTCACTACAGCTTGACAGCCTATCTCCATTACGTCACAGCCGAGCGCAAGTGTTACCCAGGTTCCTCCCGCCATTTAGCGAGATGCCAGAAACTCAACAACATGCGTTAGGTGAGACTGATATAGTGGAAGCTACCAGTTACGACTTTTACTCCTGATGCTTTCTTTCATGCAGGAAAAGTCTTCCGTTTCTGAAATTTATTAAAAAAAAAAAAAAAGATCGTTGTGCTACTGGGATATGCTAGCGAAACAGTTGGCCTATTATAAATTTTGAGCTCAGTAGTTTTTTTTCTTGTCACGAATATGGGACTAAGAAAAAATTTCAAGTCGACATAAGGAATCGAACCTGAGACCTTGGGATTCCATAGGTATTTTCGTAGTTGCCAAGCTATGGCTCAGCCGGTGGAGCATCACAGCGCGAAATCCAAAGGTCTGAGATTCGAGTCCTCACGGGGACTCATTTTTGTTTTTTTGTTTGATTGTCCCACGCTCGCGAAAAGAAGAAAGCACCTTTCTCTTGTTAGGTTTTTTTTTTTTTTTCAGCGCTTGAGCCGCATTAACTAGGAGACAAAAAAAAAAACAGTGAGCAAAAAGACTTGTAAACGAATCCTGCCTAAGCATAATTCGCAACTCTCCTTATAAAGTCATGTACGTTGTAAAGGAATGATGCGGCTTTAGTCTCATGAAGCTGGCAGTTGCAGTCGCACTGGGCCGAGGAAGCTGTTTACACTCTACTGAATATGACGGCGTGTATGCGACTTAGGGATTTTAGTTTGTGACACTCCTTACACGTGTAGTCGAAAACTTGTTTTAATTCTATCGTCAATTACTCTTTTATAAAATGTTTTTCTTTTGTCTTTTTCAGGTCCGTCGAATTACAATGGAATGGCTGTATTTGACTGTGTTCCTGCTCAAGGTGCGATCGGTCCAGGTATGTCAGTGAAAAAAAAAAAAAAAAACGGAAACATTTCCCTGATCTGGACAATGAACTCCTGTATATTTTTGGTTTATGTAATTTTTTAAGTTTTGGATTTTTCATTATTAATAAATTTTTACTAAAGCAAAACATTTATACATTACAGGCGAGTCGAAAGAGATCACAATATCATTCAACCCGGATCATCCAAGTGAACTCTACGCCGATGAAGTCTCAGTAGAGATAAACAACGGGGTAAGTAAGAACTGACTTGTGATCGTGGGTGGAGTGGAGAGGCATCGTGAGGGTTGACAGTCTTGCAAGCAGAGACAAAGTAGTGACCCTGGTCGAAACTGGAAAGCAACGTGCAAATGGTTGGGCCAGTGTTTATCAGATTTCTCTTACACTTGTTTTCGTAACATTCTATTACATTGAGCACATACCTCGTAATACAGTCAAATCAAGCTAAAAATAATCTTTGAAGTAAAATTCGATCCATGTTTACCCCCCGAAATCAATGTTAGAAATATTTTTGAGCGGGTTCTTGTACATTAAATGGTCAATTATAAGATAAAATGGCCTTTCTATAACACCCCTATCCAGTGGAACCGGTATTAAGTGGTCAACCTGTATTAAGCGGGGGTCACCCCGCCGTTCCCCGTGGGTGAATGTTTAATACAGGTTTGACTATAACCGAGTTCGAGGTCAGTACTGTAAGTTACGCTTGGATTTATGGCTCAAGCGAAAGCGAAGGGATAAAGAACAGGGTTCCGTAGCTCGCAGTAGGGACTCAGAAAACGAGTTTAGAAAGATAATCATCATCTCTCCAGGTTTAAACGGAGAGGGAAAATTTCAATCCAAACAAACGTAGCAGGCCATACAATGAAATACGCTAAATTAACCTATCATAGTGCACGTACTAACTGAGAGATATAAAAATAAGTGTGGCCTTAATATGCATCGCTCTCATGATTCCATTTCAGGAGCAGCCCTACTCTGTCCGACTACTGGGCCGCGCCTGGGCAAATATTGTGTACCTGAGGGGCTGGGATGAGTTGATGCCGAGAGCCGAGTCACTGAGAGCGGAAGTGGAGGAGGAAGAGGAAGAAGGTTTGGGCTCTAGTAGCAGAAAACGTTTCTAGTAGTCCTGAGTATTTTACATTTTATCTACTGCGAATTATTCGATATCAGCAATTACCTTCGACTCCCGAAAGGGAAGTGTCGTTCTCCAGAGTTTTCAGTGTCTCGGGAGTGTCGGACTCGTATATTTCCAGATTCATTAAATGTAGGATTTGAAAACTCTCAGGTTCTGGAAGCCGCACTGGAAAATATAAGATTCGGCAGGTTTCGGGCTTGTGATATTTCGGATTCGGAAAGTGTCAGTTGTCAGGTTTGACAAATGTGGGGTTTCAGTTAGGAGTAGGGACTTTAAGCAACGGCAACGGCAACGGCACGGAAGACGTCGATTAAAAAAAGGAGTTTCTACTTTTAGTTAGAATTTCCAAAATGGCTGCATGTGTTTACCGTCTCTTAAAGCACCAGACTTCAAACTCAACATAACGCATAAAAGTAGCGTTGAGTTCCAAATTAAAATTAAAATAATTTGCCGCCGCGGTTTCGCTTCGCAGACGACGCAATTTTGGGGATTTCGCGTTGTTGTTTTGCAAAGGACGGCTAAGAAATGTACAAAGTTTTAAAACGCACGTGCTGGGCTATTGTTCTGCCAATTAGATCTATTGTTTTTCCACGTTCTCGTTGCCGTCGCCGTCGTGGTTTGCTTAAAGTCCCTAGTATCGAGCTTTGAACGGTGGCGGATCCAGGCGAGGGGCCTGGGGGGCGAGGGGCCCATGGGGCCCAGGCCCCTCCTTACTTTTGGACCATACTGAGGCCCAAAGGGCTAAAAAAAATTTTTTGGAGACTGCCCACCCCCACTCCCGTTCCCG